ACATGATATTCTTTCTGCCTGGAATACTCTGATCCCAAACATGCACTAACCTCATTCATTTCCTCAGGTCTATTTAGCTTTAACATGAAATATGGTCTATTTAAAATAGCAACCCCTGGGCCAAAGAGCTAGCTCAGCAAGCAGGTAAAGGCACGTGTTTATAGCTTGAAGACCTTAGTTTGAGCCCCAAGAACCAGGGTGGAAAGGAAAATCCAACTCCCACAACTTATGTCCTTACCTCCATGTCTATGTCACAGGCATGAGTGCACAACACAGGCAGGCACACACATGCACACTCATATACACAGAGTGGCCCTACATTTACACTCTCTCCAAACTCTTCCTTGGCTCATTTCCCAAAACAGCCTTATCACCACACATAACCATGTATTTCACATACCAATTAAAATGAAAAACATCATACAGATCATAGACTATGCATTCTATGCTCTGTTGTATACTCAGAAGTTCTTCATATAAAGCACAAGGCTGACATTTATTGATTTAATGATCTAGTCTAAAAATATAGACAAAGCCTGGCTGTGGTGGCACACACCATTAATCCCAGCACTCAGGAGGCAGAGGCAGGCAGATCTCGGTGAGTTTGAGGCAGCCTGGTCTACAAAGCTACACAGAGAAGCCCTGTCTTGAAAAATCAACATACATGTGTGTATGTATGTGTGTGTGTGTATTTGCATATATATATATATGCAAATACAGTAAAAGTTGCCAGAGAAAAATTAGTTTTGTTCTTATTTCCTTACTACTCTCAGGGATTGAACCTCACCCCTCACACATTGCTCCAACACTATACCACTGAGCTACACCTCCTTCAGAAAGAACATGAAGTATTGAATTACTTTTTGTTCACATACCAAGATATACTTACTTAGCATCTATTCTGTGCTGTGACCGGTGTCTATCTGAACTTCTTTACAATACTGGTAAATACCACTAATACTATCTTAAAGAAACACCCGAAGATGACAAAGTCCAGTAACTTGTCTAAAAGTGCCATGGTATTTGACAAAAGGAAAAACCCTGAGGTGCTCAGATGTTGCTTCTAGAATCTACAAAAACAAAATTGGTACTCCACTTACAATATTCAATAACTTCATTTGTAAGTCTGGTGAATCAGTAATTCTAAGTTTTAAATGACAAGCTATCACAAGTATTATTTCTCCCTCTTTGCATGGTTCAAATGGGATTGGTGGCAACCATATAAAAGGTAACTTTCTTTTGACCTTCCAAGTACACTGAAGGACTTTTATCCAGATCCATTTTCTATGTGGAAGTTAGAGTTAATGGGGTGACAGTTTGGGAAATACTATGTCCTAACAGCAGAGAATGAAGGCAGATACAGTGAATGTCAGACTAGTCTGTAAGACAGCTAGATGTTGGGAAAATTGCATGTAGCCTAACAGTCAGAGAAGTCTTGACAATGTGCACAAAACTTGGGGCAGAAACTCATTTTTCTGTCTAAAAAAGCTAACCATAAAAGTTACACTGCTTTGGAAGCTTCAAATCCATTAACAGAAAATGAACCTTAGGTAATCTGTCTGGTTGTTACTAAGCAATAAAACCATATTCACTGAGATCTAAGATCCAGAGTATTTGGTAATTTGGACCAGCCTTTCCTTCTGGGCTTCCTAGAAAGGACCCTGCCTCTGATGCTCCCTTAGTATCAAGCAAGAAACAAAACTCCTCATTAGAATTCCTTTCCAGGAGAAACAAACTTTTCTTCAGCAATAGGATTATTATTCCTTTGCTTTTTCTTTAAGACACATTTAAATTACGTCATTAAAAATCTCCGCTCACTTAGACATCTGGGAAGCATGTGAAAGCTATGTGTCAAAACTTTAGGCTACAGGAACCTTACAAGACAGAACAAGATTTTACTTTGCTATAAATTACTATCCTGATAGTGTTAGCAAAAATCAGAATGTAAACATCTTATCCAGGGAGTCTTAACACTTGCTCCTGAAAGTTACATTATTTGTTTACACTTTCCAAGTTTTGAGAAAGATCATGTTCTGTTGAACAAACAGAAAAAGGGAAGCGGCCGCAAAAAATATTTTGTGTGTCCTGAATGAAGCTTAGCAACTTCACATGCATTAAAATTCAGTTACCTCAGAAAGCCATTACCACCCATTCACAACCTAAATCGATGGTGCTCAGCACTGTTTAAACAGTTTGCTAAGTGAAAAACGATTGTACATAAGAGACTCCCAAGGGCTATCTAACTCTAACGCCCTCAAATTTCTATTAAATTAAAAACTATATACACTAGTTCAGAGTAAAAACACATCAATAAAATCTATACATTTGTTATAAATTAAAAAAAAGTCTATCAAAAAGGTCCTAAGTTGGGACAAGTATTGTAGTTAATGTCTGTAATTGAGCCATTCAGAGGTTGAGGCCAGAGGACTTTGAGTTAGAGCTGGCCTAAGCAATATAGGCAATGAGTTCAAAAACAGCCTGGGATACAGACGAAATACTGCTGTACTGTGAACCCAAAAACCATGTCAAGAATTTTATTAGCAGCACTTAAACAAGCCATACCTAGCTGGTAAGAGAGAAATCAATACTGACCAGATAAATAAGTATATCTAACACACCACTGCTTTGCTACACACTGAACTGGAGTCTCTGGCAATACTTTAAATGACTAGATCCAAAAGGCTATGGAGACCAACTCCATCCTTCCTGCTAACCATACCTGGCTCTAGTTCTGTATGTACATTTATGAGAAGAAAGCCAATCTCACGTTATAAAGCACCATAGGTATTTCATTCTACACAATGCAACAAATCTTAGCATTCTATAACAGAATTCATGGGAAGGCACTTCAGTTTTTAAAAGGAGGCACATTTCTAAACTGCAGGTTCCTTAATACTGTCTTCACCACTTGAAATCTTGACATTCCACAATGTCATACTGTTCACAAATAAAGAATGGCAAGGGACACTGCCCCCACCCGAAAAAAAGAGTCTGGGCAGAATAAACTTGCCTTACAAGTAGGTGAGATGAGAAATACATACGGTAAGAGCAAAAACAACATAACTGGAGTGATGATTTCAAGAAAAAAAAGTGACTTCAAATTTACACATTAAAAAAACTTTGAAGTACTTTTGATAACAAATGAAACACACTGTCACATGCTCTGGTGCTTTCTTAGGGTCATCAATAAGGATGACAGAGAGCATTTGCCAGGTTATACCCTAGGAGCCTGTAAGATTTCACTTTTATAGCTCTGGAGGTTACAAAAGAAAATAGGACAATATTCTCCAAGTTCAGAAGTTGTACCTTGGAGAGAAGCAATCAAATTCCAAATCCAGGGGCTGGAGAGCTGGCTCATCATTATGAGCATTGGCTGCTCTTGCAGAGGACCCGGATTCTGTTCCTAGCACCTACGTAGCTGCTCAATCATTTTCGACTCCAGTTCAGGGGATCTGATGTCCTTTTCTAAACTCCACACTCATGTGGTGCAGACATACATGCAGGCAAAACACTCATGCACATAAAATGAAATAAATAAATGTAAACTTTTTAAGAATTATAAATCAAAAGGTCAAGACCGGGAAAGTATATGGCTCACTGGTCCAGCACTTGCCTAGTATACAGTACATATGTATGAGTCCTCTAGTCCAGTGCCAAATGACGATGCCCCCCATCACCAAGGTATAAAAGTGTGAATGTTTTATTATGATGAATTTTGTTTTAAAACATCAGTTGTAATGTTAAATAACACTGTTGGCATGCTAAGTTGTACTAACTTTATCAGTCTCATATCTAAGAGGAATAATCCAGGAAAATGACCCGTATCTCAAAGACCTTACAACATCTTATTTCTCACTGCTCCATCAGTGTTTTATACAGCTTCTCATTAAGAAGGCGTTCAAAACACTACCAATCACAGCCTTGCTTGTCAACCAAAAGGCAAATAAAGGCTTCCGAATGATACGTTCCCTTAAGAAATCAGTGCTAATGAATATTAAACAAGTTCACCATAAAAACAAAATTAAAGAAACCAACCTTGACTGTAAATCCTACCTGAAATAGTTTTGGGGGCAGGGGAGGAGGTGATCCACTACTTTCCACTCATTCAGTGGAACTGGAGTATACTCAAGTTGGGGCTTCTGGACTTTAGAGTGTGCAGTTCCACACTGCGAGGACACTGGGCTATCTCAATGCAATGGACAGACAGGCCTGGCGTTAATCTAAAATGTGCCTTCCACATAAATTATACAAGGTTGCCTCAACCTTTCTGCTAGTAGTCTAAGACCACGATAAATAGCAAATATATGACTGAGAGTGGACACTGCCTCACTGGGGCTCAAGCCAGAGGCTCCCAGACGCAAGGTCCTGGGTTTAACCCTGGGGGGGGGGAACGACAAAGTAAATGGTCCCATGAAGTGTACAAGTACACCGATCTCTCATGCTTCCTTGCTGTTTCTCTTGTACAATATTGAAGCTCCTGTATTCTGAAGGCAGACAAAGCACTCAGCAAAACTCATATCTACATGGCTAAAAATGTGCTAATTACTAAGTAATAATGAGAAAGACCATAACTTCAATATTGGTCCTAATGCTATCCTTAGGAATGTCTGACCTTGCTTTATAACTTAACAGAAATAGAGAAAACTTACAATTCACATTAAGAATACTTACTGAAAACAACGATTAGAATGTAAGACAACTTGAACATAATCATTCCAACCCTACACTCTTTATAAGGTTTGTACATAAAACAGCTTTTACAAAAACCTAAAGTTGGAGTCCTTCCCACACCATGAGCTGGTATCAGAAAACAGTGCCCCACAAGTTAAAGTTACTATGCTTTCTCATTATGCAAAGAGGAATATTGACAGGCTACATGTCCAAATATTTAGATTGCTTAAAGTCTTTAAAGTTCTACAAACTCATAGTAATTTAGAACTCCAAAAGTTCAAGAAATAAAATTTACCAAAATAAAAACCACTGACACTCAATGCACATCCTCACTTTAAGGCCTTTGTCACAACTCTGAATCTTTATTGTTCTGAAATAAATGTTAAAAACATAACTTGAAACAAAAACATCAATATTCAGTCTCAGAAGACGTGGCTCAGTGCCCATCACATGTAACAAGAAAACTTCCTTTAAAAAAAAGGAAAGAAGTACTATGAGAAGTCTCTCGTGAGTGAAAATGCACCCTTGTATGTCCTCCCTCTCTGTATCATCTTCACAAGGTCTGCATTTTCTTCACAACAGTTCTTGCTATGATGTTTGACGGATTTTTTGCCACTCAACAAATTCATCAAGTAGAACAGGCCCTAGGCAGAAAAAACAAGTTGTTACGATTCAGTAGACTCATCCCTCTAACAAGCTCTGCGGTGGCAAGGGCCCACCTGACCTGTCCATCATCTACTGCTCTCTGTTTGTTTTCTTTCCCCAGGGTTATTTCCTTCCCTAGAAGTGTTTCATGAACTCCCCTATAAATAACTTGAGACAAAACTAACCTTTTCCCATAGCACTGGCATTTAAACACTCAGCAAACATATTTCTGCTACATCAACAAGTGTGAGCACTTGTTAAGGGGAGTGGCCACGTAGGACTGACTTTACTCTAAAAACGAGACACAGTAAAAAGAATAGCATAAAGCAAATGCCTATTTCCTGACTGACTGATATTCTAAAAAAGAAGTTTTATAATGTAGAGGTTGCAAATGTTTACCAACAGAAGCCAAGTGGGCAATTTAAATGAGGTTTCAGTATTTGTGATGTATGGGATTCAGTATTTGAAAATGTATGGAAAGTATGACCACGAAGAGATATGCTTGTCCTGTTTTTCTCAAAACATAAACCCTCTGGGTGTTCTTTTGCCTCTTGCTTTTAGCAGACCATACAAAAACAGCCGGGCAGGCAAAGCAGTAAACGGCAATGTTGGAACACTGCGTGGACTGCCAAACTGGAGAGCAAGCTCAACACAAGCCACTACTGGGCTCCAACCTCTGAAACCTACAAAGGAATACAGGTGCAAGGTGTCAGATCTTCTGATAGTTCAAATAAATTTACAACTTTACTTTTATATCACACCTCTCAGCTTTAAATGTTGACTCAACATACACAAATATACACAGCTGCAGTCTCTATGTAGCTCTTGGGCTGTTAGCCTACTGCAAAAAAAATGAGTATTTCTTCAAATAAACTTAAACTCTATGTGATCCTGTAGGGAAAAAACACTACATACTCAAGGCAGGCTATCTTTGGTAGTACCTTGTTGTCTCTTTCGCGTCAAGTGTGCTATGTCCATTTTTGTTATAAAGCAAGGTACCTTTCCATGTACCCCGTATGAACACTGAAACACACTACAACACTCCAAAATGACGGTAGAGACAATTTTATTAAGAGTTCTGCAGAATTAAGTTGGCTTATTTTTTGTAGCTTTGTCCTTTTAAATGCATGAGTGAAACTTTTCTTCTACTCAAAAGGCAAGAACAAAGTAGGATTTTGGCTTCTAGGTTGAAAAATCATCATTTAGCTATAATGTCTAGTCACTTATCCATCAGCATACATTTTATAACATTGCTGAATCTAGACTCTGCCTCCCCCATATTCTGATTAAATAACGAGCACTGTTACACTAATTCAAACTTTCTGTTAATGCCTCAGAATGCACAAACTCATTTAACATTTTTAGGAATTTTATTTTCATAGGAATGCATGGTATACTTACAAGCACCATCTTCATCGTAGTTACTAAGATCGGCATGAACTGTTCTGCTGAATTCTAATACATTGTACCACTGATCTTTGTTCATAACACGATACTTTGATTGCTGTGGAAAATGATATAAAAATTTGGACTACAGAACCAACATTCTTACTGGGACTTGAATTTAGTGATTCTCACTGTCATTTATTTGGCCTTTTCTAAAACATTTTCTTTCTTAATTATATGCTGTTCTAGACTCATTTACGTTATATTTTCTTTTCTGAAAGGCAATAAGACTAACATTTAGAGCATCCAGTTGGTTTGACGTTTCCACTATACAGAATTTATTTGTGTACATTAGCTACATTTTGAAGAGGACATCCTCAGCCATAGTGGAAACAATATGTGCTTGGATCCAAATTATAATGTGGACTCAATTGAGTGCTCTTGGGAAAGTGACTTCTGTGGCAGAGAGCTTGGTGGGCAGGTGCTCAGGGTTCCTTCACCAGCAGGACAACTAGGTATAATGACACACACCTATGATCCCAGCACTTGGGAAGCAGGATGATCATGAATTCAAGGATGGCCTGGGCTATCCAGCAAGACCCTGTCAATGTCTCCATTAAAACACAAACCATCTCTCCTCCAAAACAAAACCCAACCACCCACCAACAACAACAAAATAAAAACCCACCACTAAGCTAATCCCACCCCCCTCCCAATTCCCTTGGCTACTAAACGGTAAAACTTGCTTGAATACATCTCATTTTTTTCAGAGACTCACAGAAGTTAGTAGTTTTGTATTTAACTAAATGTATTTTTGATCGACTAACAAGAGGAAGATATGTATCATTAATCAAAAATGTCAACTTTGCTGGTCACAAAAATTTACCAATGTACAAAACTCCTTTATTCAGGTTTTAAATAAAAGTACTCTGGAAAAGTTACTGTGACAAGTAAATCATAGGACAAGATGTTGTTTCCAATAGAAAAGGCGGTTCTATTTAAGAAATGGTTAGAAATATGTCCCCAAACCTAAAGTTGAAAGGTTTAAAAATAAACAAGACCACACAAAGCGACCAGTGAGACAGCAAGTGTCTTAGAGCTGGCAGGTGCAGCATAGCTCTTAGAGGATGTGTATTCCGTGACACAGTATACGGTGCACAGTCAGTGCAGTGGGCGACTGTTACAGCCATGCTCACATCTGTGCAAGCAAAACATTAACAATTTATTTCTTAACACTGAGTCAATTACTGCTAAAATAAGTCCTACTGTATATGTTTCTACCAAGACTAGGGGATGGGGAATGGAAATAAAGTACACATTGGTTTAGAAGCTTGAGATTTGTGTATTAGCATCAATTTTCTCTCACAAAAACCTCAAGAAATTAAGTATATGCGAAATGTCTATGCTATTTTCCTGGGACTCTTCGTAGGTACAATGCAAATTCCTTAAAATGCAAAGCATGTGTTCTATCAACAAATTACACTCCAGTTCGTTGCCAGTATATTATGTACAGAATATATAAGTAACACAAATTTTGTCTTATCCCCACAATAAGTATGTACATATTTTAGCAGATTTCTTTAATTACTCATTCAGAAATTTTTAAAGTAAGAATTTGTTCCTTACAAATATATTTTCAAACATTTAAAGATACCCATACATACCTCCAGGTACTGATAAAATACTGAAAAGAGTGGCCACGTTCTCCCAAGCAGCAGTGCTAACATAGACTTAGCAGTGTCAATATCAAGGCTTCTCTGATCTTTATCCTATAATATTAGCGAAAATATATGAATACACTCATAAAATCAAAACACTTAGGATCTGAAGGGGAAGCTGTACCTACCCTTGCAAAATCAAAGGCATATCTGTAGATATTCTTAAACGATGAGATGTCATTCAGCTGTGAGCGCAGAAAATCAAATCTGCTCTGTAACTTTTCTGTGCAGTCACACCTTAAAAGACAGAGGTCAGAAGGGAAGCACTCTAAGACCAAGTGCAATAGGAACGTTCTTTAGCTCTGGCACTGTCAGTAGGACAACTTCAACTAAAGATGTATTTTAAACTACCAATACAATTAATAAAGCTGATAAAACTTGACAACAGAGTACACTACAGTTTCAAGAAAAATAAAACATTTCAATAAAAAATTCCAAGCAAATCACAAACAGGTCTTAGTGTGAGAGTCAGAATGCCTGCCTACTGGGCTCCAGAACCCATTTTTAATCCAAGTACTGCCTCTTCTCAAAGGCTGAGCAAATGATAAAACAAGTTGCCTAATTATTTCTAAAAATGAAGACAGTAAGCAGAATCATCTCAATCAATGGAATACTCAAAAGTCTTGCTGGTTTTCTATTGCTGTTAAACTCCACTGACGGGTTTTTCTGGTCACTTCCCACACCCTCAATGAACTCTAGTGATGGGAGATGTCATTCTGTAAATATGTTTCTCCTATTAGTTAATTAAGAAAACACTGTTGGCCAATAAGAAAGCAAGATAGGCGGGACTAGGAGATGAGGATGCAGGAAGTAGCGGAGGGAGATTTAACATAGAGGACAAAGAAAGCATAACTCCAGACCCTTTCTCCAGTAAGCCAAGATCACGTGGAAACATTTAGATTAATAGAAACGGGTTAGTATTTAAGACAGAGCTAGCTAATAAGTTATGCTAGTAACAGGCCACCAGCATTATATCTAATACAGCATCTCTGTGTGTTATTTGGGCTGGCGTGGCTCTGGGACCAGGCCAGTGGGAAAACCCGCTCGTAACAAAATGGTGTCCAACGTGGTGCAGAGAACTTTCACTTAAAACTTGACAAAAGCTTAAAAAGGGGTTTTAGAAACAAAAGAACTAAGACAAACAAGGCTTCTTGGTTAACAGCATTTTTCTCAGTTGGGCTCTATTTTGCTAGAGACAAACAGAGACTTGCATGGCTCCTTTAAGGGAGGTTTCCCAACTCAACATAAGCTGCAAAAAAAATCCACCAAAAACCAATAAATAAATAAATAAACAAATAAATAAATAAGCCACATGAAGATGGAAAGTACACAAAAAGTCTGGATACTGTATGCTATAATAATGTCTTTAAATTGCTCAACTACTAAGGAAGAAATAATTGCTACAATATACTTGATTATTAATACTGCTAAATTATTCTAATTTATATAAAATAGATAAAGATAAAGTGCTTTGACTCCAAAATTTAAGTCTAAGGACAGGTTACTGGGGAAAAGGATTTCTATTGTTGTTTCCACAGAAAATGAAAAGCTATGGATTCCTTCCAAACTAACCTGGTTTGATAAAGCTAGACCCCCTGAAGCAATGTCCCAGGTGATCCAACATTCAAAACAGCTGGGACAAGACAGACTTACAGACAACTACAGCCATATTTTCTGAGTCTTCTTAGGATCCCCCACGACAGTGCCCCCTACCAGCAGGAAGCAGTTAGGAAAGAATGACGCCCGACTTCCCAAATATTGACTATAAATGTTTGCTTTCATTTAACTGGGGTTGGTTATAAATGGTTAATGACCACAACAATATCTTTTTAAAGGAAAAAAGGGGATTATGGTCTAGAAATGAATACTTTGTTTTGAAATAGATTTTCATTTATTGATACAAATTTAAGGTCAATTTTGTGATATGTATAATGTTTATATAGCTCATATAAAAATGTAATGTATAACTTAGTACAGATTATAGATAGCAACTTTGATAGTCAAAACTTAGAGTTAGTTAGATTTTCATGATATATTTGAGATGGATAGGCATTCTTCAAACCTTTTACAGACCTTCAGATTAATAGAAATGTGTTAATATTTAAGACAGAGCTAGCTAATAAGATATGCTAGTAACAGGCCAACAGCATTGTACCTAATACCTCTGTGTGTTATTTGGGGCTGGCGTGGCTCTGGGACCAGGCTTGCAGAAAAACATGCTCGTAACACTCTAGATGTTTTCATTTACCACTTTCAAAAGTCATTATATTTCTTCTATTGGAAAGGATGCAAAGTAGAACTCAAGACCTAATTCAAACTTGCCATCTACATGAAATCACCTGACTTCTCTTGATTAACCAGTACATCATCTATTGTAACCACTCAAACCAAATTTCAGAATTCATGAGACACAGACATGTGGTCTTGTAAAATTTAACCAAGATTTTCATTATCGTAAGTCAGCAATGTGAGCATCTATGTGGCATGGGTCATAATTTTATTAAACTGGAAAAAAAAAATTTGGTACATCACTATTGTTAAATCTTTAGTATCTATAAAAAGCCATTCAACATACAGATAGGGCCTTTTAAGAAATATTCCTTGGTAGCTTTGATAACAATCTTATAGCATCAGAAAAAGAATTGAGGGTTTAAAACTATTTTGTGAAAAATTTTTAAATACTGCAAATAACATTTATCCATACTAGATAGAAAGTAGACTTGTAACTACTTAACATTCAAATTTTGTCCAAATTTTCTGTTTATTTCTAACCTGTTTTTACTACCTAAATTTTTCTGATCCTTCTATTACTTTCATAAAATCTGATTTAAGAGGACATTATAAGGATGGGAGATGAGAGCATACATTACATATATACATGTATGACATTGTCAAAAAACAATTTTAAGTAATTAAAAAACTGATGTTGCTTAAAATTATGTGTATTTTTAACCTATGCTAGTGCCATTTTTTTAACTTTTAGTTGTTTTCTTGCCCAATATGGCTAGAATTTAAGTCATTTAATATAGCATTTGAGATTTCAGATTTTCTTTTTAATGCAATTTCCTTCCATGTGATCACAAATTTTATTAAGAATTTGCTGCTTGTATTATGCAACTATGAATGCTAACTTCCCAAGGTGTGTTTCAGGAGTGGCAGTGATAATCTTCTCAAAGCAGGTCTAAGAGAGAATGAGGAAGAGGAGTCCGGAGAAAAACAATACAGACTTTCAACGTGTTTGGGCCTGAATGGCTACAGGAGGGCAGCAACCCAAATGAGAAACTTCCTTACAGAAAATGCAATGCACATGCATGACACAAAACCGAAGATACTGAATGAAGGCACGTGTGGTGACACACATGTATGTAATCCCAACCTTTGAGAAGTTAAGGCGGGAGGAGTCTATGTTCAAGTCCAGTCTAGGTTTATTGTAACAAGATCTTAAATTCTGAAAGGGAAAGACTTGGAAGAATGACATATGGTAGCAAGTTTACTCAGTTTCTTTTTGCCTCAGATATCCTTGAAGCTGCAGATGACAGTAAGTTGAGTGTGGTGGTAAATCCCAGCCTGGGGAAGCAGAGATAAAAACAGAACCACTGGAGCTAGGGTAGATAGATGTTCAGTGATAAAGTGACTTCATGTAAGCCGTGCACCAAAGTACCATGCCAGGCAGGTGCTGACTGCGCTTTCTTTTTTTATTATTTTATTATTTTTTATTTTACATATCGATGTCAGTTCCCTCTCCCTCCCATCCCATCCCCCCTCCCCACTGCACAGGGAGGGTGATGGCTTCCAGAAGGGATTATTAAAATCTGTCAAGTCATTTGGAGTAGGGTGTAGCCCCCCCCCACCTCTAGGCTAAAGGGTATCCCTCCATGGGGAATGTGCTCCCAAAGTCCTTTCATGCACCAAGGATACATCCTGCCCAGGCCTTCTATCTGAGAACTATGTTCAGGGGGCCTGAGTCATATAATGCTGGTTTCCCAGCTATCAGTCTGGGGGTGACTGAACTGTTTCCAACTGAGGAACCCTGCCTGTAGAGTTGAGAGTAACTGAGGATGACACATAGGCCTCCATACTGACAAGTACACACGTTTGCACACTGCACATGTGTGCCCACACACATATACATACCACACATAAAGAGACAGGAGAAAAGAAGAAAACCAAATGACTTCTGATGACATGCTGATATCATCATAGATCAGCACTTTAGTCAGCCATTGTCAGAGAAGCTTCTTCCTGCAGCAGATGGGAACCCACAGCCAGACATTACAACAGAGGGAGAGACCTCGAACACATAGCTCTAGATGGGCTGTCTCCATTAGATCCCTCCCTCAGAGCTCAAGGAACCTGGTAGAAGAGGAGGCAGGAACAGTATATATATGAGCCAGAGGGATGGAGAACTAGGAGAACAAGGCCCTCTACAGCAACCTGAGCAAAGCTCACACGAACATAGGCAGAATGAACAGCATGAACAGGGCCTGCCCGGGCTGCACCGGGTCCTCTGCACGGAAACCACAGCTTTCGGATCGGTACTTTTTATGGGGCTTGTGAATGAGTAGGTCTGATTCTTATGCCTTCTCTTGGAACTGTTTTATTTTTCTGTTGGCTTGGCGTGTCCAACTTTGATATGATGGATCTTGTTTTCATCTTATTATATTTTATTTCGTTAAAAAAATTAAACAATTTTCTTTATGGGGGGGGGGGTGCTGGGTGTATAGCTCAGTGACCCAGAATTGGTCTAGCAATGTCCCAGGTTCAAGAAGACTAAGAAAGTAGTAGCCTATGAGGACAGAAGGCTCTAACTGTGAACACTATTCCAGTCAAGTATCACCAAATACAGTGATCCAACTCCCAGCAATGGCAGTGAAGACTGAATTAGCGTCCTAATGTGTCCATGTTCAGCAGAGTACAGTAAGATCAATTCCTCAAATCCCAGTGTCACAGAAACTATACAAGAACGTGGGCTTGTGCTCACTCTAGGGAATAACAAGCTTCCTCTTCCCAAGGGTGCTGCCAGGGTTCCTTGACAATGAATTAAGGCCTTCCTTCACCAACACTCAGTAGTAACAAGGACACAACTGCACTAAGGTCAGTGACTTTGTGCGTGTGAAACAGTAACAAGGCCTCCAACAAGTTCAAGAAAAAGTGTCAGGACCATGGGCTGGGTTGAAACTTATTCCTGCTCAGGAATAACACATTACATCCCCGCTTGAGAGCAGAATGGTAGCTTT